GTCGCTAAACCTCCAATTAGACTGACAAGGTTTTGAGATATTTACTGAATGAGCAACTGATAAACATACTGTAATCATCCGTAGTGAATGAAAAGAAAAACAACACTACTTAATGATAATTATAAGTCAATTTGCTGACCGATTTCTTAATAGTTTCGTCAACTTTATCAATCATATTACGTGATTGTCATGTCATGACAATGCTTTATGACGATATCCTGAAACCATTATGTCTAACTAATTATAGTGTTGATTGAGGATCAGCCGGTGGAAAAAATAGGTATTGTTGCATCAGGTGATTTGAAATTATCAGAAATTTGTAGCGTTGAAGAAACCGAGTCGCCTAATTATATTATAATTTTCAATTCAAGAATATACATCCAGTGTTAATTTTAGTAATAGGTTCCGGAGTTTTAATTTTAAATGTTTGTTTAGCCAACAACTACCTGATAGTTTAGCTATCATACTAAGGCAGTATGCTAGTACTTAAATTTGTAACTTTATTATCTAAACTATGTTTGTCTTTTTATGTTACTAATATGGTAGACCGATTTACAAACCCAAATACGTATAGCAAGAATGACTATGATGGGTTTGGTGAGAAATGCTAAAGGTAATTCAAATGACTTTCGAATTCAAAAGGCATGGAGATATAATGCAACGCATTTACAGGATAGTTTAACATGCAGGTTATTGATGTATATGACAAACATTGTCAGAAAAATAATTTTAAAGTTAAGACTGCTTATGAAACTTCAGGCAGGATAATGATGAGTTATAAACTTCCCATAAGAGGTTCCTGTATTTAGCATAGTGGCACTTACAAATATGTAGCAAAAGCAACTGGAATATATATACGTACCAAGTACAAAAAAACATCCAGTAAAATAGTTAAACTCGCCTGGATTATTTTTGAAAATTGGATTATTCAGTAGACGACATATGTAACGCCATTCGTGAGAAGTAATGATCCAAAAGCATCCAGAATAAAACATGCAGTATGGTAATTAATTCAGGGGTCCTTGGTGCCGCTGACGTTTTTGTCACTTGCTCGGATCAGAACAATTGAATGAATCCAGATAATTGTGTGATTGCCAATGAACGAGCCATCTAAAATGACCTTATGATTGCAGAAAACTTATAGCTAAAATTCACCGTATGTTTTTGTAATAGTGTCATCCTTGTTGTTTGGCAATGGAACTGGAAAATTGGAAATTAGGCAGGCAGTGGTCGGAAGAAAAAAGATATTACAGGATAGTGCATAGTTTAAGACAGAATGGGTTAAGTGAAGGAACACTAAGAATTAGATCCAGATAAATATTTAGTCCTTGATTTCATGGTTAGTCAATGTATATTGAGGTTATTAGCAGGTCATATTTGCTAGAGCTTGATGTTAAAACCAGTTTGTTTCACTGAAGCATGTTAATGCTATTAAAGCTTGTTAACGAACCATCAACGCTACTTAGTTAATGTAGATGATCAGTTTTTATTATTGATTAAGCTAGTAAGTTATGAGGAATAATCAAGATAGCGTTAAGATAATACATATGAGCATTAATCAGAGGACTATTAGAATAATGGGTTTAGATAAGTAAATATCGATCGAAAAAGTTAAAGTGGAAATATGGATGAAGAATTAGAGGTTGCGTTTCTTAAGTCGGGCTCACCAATGTAGAATTACGGTCTACTATGATATTAGCACTGCTCTAATAATAGACCTAATCCATAAATTGTAGAGTTGTCATGATGTAACTGCCTAATCTATAAGATCTTACGTGGAAGTTACATCATCGTCTACAGCAACTCATTGCACTGTAACAATTACCAATACGTGATAGAGAACAAGCTTAGGCTAGAGATAGAATATATTAAATATGAATAGAAGATACAAGATAACATTCAGCTGGGACCACACCTGCAAGGCCGAGCCATGCCATCCGATGAACTCGGACACTTTCAATTTATTATTCCCGCCTTCTCCATTCTTCTTTATTTCTCCTCGTTAAATGTTTAATGTCTATTTCTCATATTGTCTCGTGGTAGGGCCCAATGCCACTACAAAGCCGCCTCTTGAATTTTGCCTTTATTACGGCTGAGGAGAAAACCCTGATACTGGGAAACTCACGCAAACTGATTGGATCCGGAATATACGTCCGTGAGGATCTGAGCCTGGTTGACCGTAACAAGAGACGAGCTGTAGCAGTAGAACTAAATGAACACCACCGAAAAAGCGAAAGAAACCTAGTACTTAAGTTTATTAAAATTGTAAAAGTTCGGAGCGAAACAATCCTCAAACCACTCTGGGTGGTAAGGGAATGTTCTCCACAGAATTGTGTTTCACAAATGCTCAAAGCGTACTAAATAAAAAGACGGTGCTCAAGACAATGGTGGATATAGAAAAACCGGATGTTATTGATGGCTCAGAAAAATGGTTAACGTAGGAAGTGCTCGATAATGAAATTCAGCTGGCTGGTTTTTTATTCAGTAGGGCTGACTTCCTCCTAAGCAAAGTTAAGTCCTGATGTAATAGGAGTAAAAGCCTCATAACAAACGACTTCTATGCACCGTAAACGTAGACGTAGGGTAATGGATAACGTCATTCGACTGTAAACTGTTAGAAATCTCAATTGTACTAGCTTTATTCCAACACATTAGAGATCCCAACAGATATGACTTACGAAGTTCCTGCCCCCCTCTTGGATTCAGTCGTCACACTCTGTGATGACGTCGGTCAAATGACTTTCCTCCTACCACCAGGGAGAAGCGATCATGCAGCCATATTATTCAAATTCATGACTGAGACTGCCTGTCAAACAGTTTCGCCGGCCCTTCCTTACATATAGAAAGCAGACATGGAGGCAATCGACTCTTCAGCATCGGCTGAAAACTGGAAAATTGACTAAATAGCATCAGTACAAGAAGCATGGACTCATTTTAGGCAGTTATACAATCAGGTAACTCGACCATATATACTCTGGACATTCTCAACGAAGAAGAAGCACGGCCATCCCTGGATAGAACGGGATATTCGACGTTTACTAAGACATATGAAGAAATGTTGGAATGTTGCCATCAGCCTTAGCACAGAAAGTAGGATGGAACTGTACAGGTCGTCAAGAAATAAATGTATAACTGAAATCAGGGAAGCTCGAAATAATATAAAATGCAGTTAGCACATTTTGCACTTAAACGGCCTAACAGACTATTCTCATACATAAATTACAGGACAAGGATGTAGCATTGGGTTCCTAACCCAGTAAAAATGAGAGTGAATCTGAAATGATAAAGGAAGATCAAGAAAAAACAGATATCAGTTTCTACTCATGAACCTCCTCTAGATGAAGAACTAGACCCAAATACAGAGTCAACAAACCTCCTGCTCACTGTGGACTTTGATCGAGACGATGTACTTAAGGCTCTTGGCACCTTAAACATGGAAAAGTCAACGGGACCAGATGAACTGCATTCCAAAATCCCGAGACATGTTGCGCAACATATCGCAGCCCCACTGGCTATGATATTCAATATGTCATTTGACCAAGGTGTGTTATCTACGGACTGGAAGGACGCAATCGTCACTCGCATACATAAAATAGGACTAAGACGACATTCATCGAAGTACAGACCTATCATCCCCACCAGTGTTGTAGTTAAAATATAAGGAAGAATAACCAAAAAGACCATAATGGCATTTATGGAAACCAATAAACTGTTAAACAGCGAATAACATGGTTTCAGAAAAGGTTTATCTTGTATAAGAAATCTTCCTATAGCAAGAAAGCATTGGATAAAGGCGCTAGACAATGGAAACTCAGTGAATGTTGTCTAAATAGACTTCAGTAAGGCATTTGATAAGGTGCCAACAAATAGACTGCTATTGAAGTTAGAAAATCTAGGGATTGCTGGACCTCTTTCAGAAAGGATTAAGGGTTTCCTAGTAGGTCGTAGACAGATGGTAAGAATAAATTCCAAGTGCTCCGCCTGGAGACCACTACTTAGTGGAGTACCTCAAAGCTCTGCCCTATGTCCTTTACTTTTCATGCTGTATGTATATGGTCTCCCAAGTATATTACGGTCCCCAATGTCATTGTACGCTGACGAGTAATAACCGGAGACGCAGATTCATGTGCACTTCACACACACCTAAATAATGTGATCAGTCGGTCTAAAGGGTAGCTGATGCCCACCAACGCAGCAAAGTGTGTCTACATGCGATTTGGGGGTACATAGGTAAATAGGTACAACATAGGGAAAGTGTCTGTGCCCGTGGTCCGGTCTCATAAGAATCTTGGGGTGGCAGTGAGTCAAGATCTAAAGACCGCGGCCCACTGCTGGGAGGTTGCAGTTAAGGGTTCTAGAACCCTCTGAGCTCTAAGACGGATATTCAACAAGTTAGATACTACCATGTTTACCACAATATACAAAACCTTAGTGAGAACTAAGCTTGAGAACTGCGTTCAGGCTACAAGCTCCTGTTTAAAAGGTGACCCGGATATCCTGGATAAAGTTTAGAGGGCTTGAAAAGCTTGACCTCTTTATTCTCTCCTATCGCAGACTAAGGGGAGACCTAATTTTGATGCATAGAGTACTAAGAAATGATTTTGGACCTAACATAATCTCTCTTTTTCTTCCCACTAGATCGGGACATCTCTTCAATGGACCCATTCAAAATAAGGGTGGACACTCATAGAAGAGCTAGACTAATTTATGGACGGACCAATGAGATTTACGATAACAGGTCTTAGATTTTGGCGCGTCTCGGCATTATAACTGATGTCAGTTCGTGATAAAACCCCTAAATCTAATTCCTTACCCTAATCATCAACTGCAAATCACAATCCTTGTCCTTCAAACTGGTTTATAACCCTCGTTTAACCCTAATAAATAGTTAAAAACACTCCCAAGGTCACTTTAGCGTCGCTCAAAGGTCGTCCATACTGAATGCTATAAAAATTACAAACCGATCTAAGCTAGACAACTATTAAAATACATTTTAGCTTTTTAAAGCTATTTGATTACTGTGGTAAAGTATGTTTATTTTATCAATTACCTACTCTTGCTACTTTGACAGGTCCTACTTCATTGATATTGATTTGTTTTTTAGAAAACAATAATTTGGTCTAGTTGACGGGAATTTTGTGGAGATTGGTTCTAATTTCTAGGTTATATTTATTACTGATTAACATTAGTTGGGATATCACTAAAACTTGGAAAGTATTAGAGAGATGTTTTGTTCTAGCATAGTAATCCTCAGCAGCTACTGAGGTACTAGTACCTACGCACTATTCCACTGGGTACCAAACCTAGGGTCTTCGAGTTTCGCTTCAAGCGCCTAACAATCAGATCACTAATTTACAATTGCTGCAAGGCTTTTAGGTCTAAATTTCGACCCCTAAAGGCGTCATAGGTTCTCACTGTCGAAGAGTCCTGTACTGGGACTAAAAGTCTGTTCAGCATTTTCTGCTTTTCAGGTTTTCTGAATTCTGTCTGTAACGCAGACCGTTCTTCGTTTTACAGATTTCTCACTTCGTTTTTCTTCACTGGTTTTATTCTGTTTATTTTTTAAACGCAGGTAATGTGTACACTGGTCAACGGCTTAAAAATTCTTCAGAAAGTGCGTCCGACAGGTATTGTAGTACCAGCCGGAAACTTGAATGCTCAGGTCGGGCGTCTAGGCACAGAAGAGAGTCGTTTAGGTGGCCGATGGGGACTTGTCGGTCGCAGGTCAAATAGTGGAGACCGTCTACTGCAACTGTGCACAGACCACAACCTGTTTCTGGCTAGCTCTAACTTCCGACACAGATATCGACGATATGCCACCTAGCGGCCGCCCTCTACATCTCTGGCCTGGATTCACATTGATCACATCGTGATCAGCTACCGCTGGCGTGGTTGTGTACAAGTCTGCCTCTGCTTTTGGAGTACCTATCTGGACTCTGATCATACCCTTGTATGCTCCACTCTTACCATACTTTTCAGTGGACAACGAATTGATCGTCATAAACGGATTGATGTCAGTAAATCGGTTGCAACTTCTGTTGCAAGTAAGTAACGAACTGGGCCAGCTTCTAGGCTAGCTACTCTCCCACTGAAAAGTATAGATGAGCATTGGTTGCAATTGCATGACGCCATGAAAATGGCGGGTCAAGTCAGTTGTAGGTTCGAAAAACGTCCCGCTTATAAGCACTGGGTTTCTTCAGGATCCTTACAACTCATGGAAGCCCGTCGGTCTACTTCGAGTGATCGTGAGTTTGACCACAAACGAAGACTGTTAAGAAATGAAATTGGGCAAAGCTTGCGTAAGGACCGAGAAGCCTGGTGGTCGGAGCGTGCTAATGAGTTGGAAGTAGCGGCTACATTTGGTAACTGCCGGAAGCTTTGTCAACTCATCCGAGCCACTGGCAGCAAGAAGTCTGGTGTGAGCGAAAAAATCTGTGAAGATGACGGAACGCCAATCACTAACACCCAACTCTTAAAGCGCTACAAATCACCGGGCCCAGATGACTTATTTTTGACTCTTTTTAAAGATAGTTGTGACTTTCTGGTTAAGGAACTGACAACGTTGTTTAGAAAGGTCTGGGAGCTAGAGAGTGTTCCAACTTCATGGAATGAGTCGACAGTTGTCCATATCTTTAAAAAGGGTTCACGTCGTTGCTGTAACAACTATCAGGGGATAAGTCTGCTTCCGATTGCTTCCAAACTATTGGCTTCTGTCATACTTCGCAGGTTGTTCAAAACCCGAGAAAGATTGGCCCGTGAGGAGCAGGCTGGTTTTCGTTCCGGTCGAGGATGTATTGATCATATCTTCATCCTCCGTCAAATTTTAGAACACCGTCATACTTATCACAAGCCAACAATCGTAGTGTTTCTTGACATCAGGGTTGCCTTTGATTCGTTGGACAGAACTGTTCTCTGGGATTGTCTATTAATCAAAGGTGTGCCTGAGAAGTTTATTACCATCCTAAAAGCCCTATACACAAACATTTTAGGCAGAGTGAGGACATACAACCGCCTTTGTCCATTGTTCCGTTCAAGCAGTGGGGTTAGACAGGGTTGCCCAATCTCACCATTCCTCTTCAACTTTGCCATCGATGACATTCTGGAAACAGCTCTGATGGATGTAAGTAATGGTGGTGTGGATCTGTTGCCTGGAGAAAGACTTCTCGACCTTGAGTATGCGGATGATATTGTCTTACTGTGCGAGAATGCCCACGATATGCAATCCGCACTTAATCAGTTGGCAGTCAATGTCCGTAGGTATGGTATGTGCTTTGTACCTTCGAAGTGCAAAGTACTTCTACAAGACAGGCAGGATTCTAATCCTGTACTCACTCTGGATGGTGAGCAGATTGAAGTAGTCGAGAAGTTCGTGTATCTGGGTAGCTGCATAAGTGCTGGTGGTGGCGTGAGTGAGGAGATCAATGCATGTATAGTGAAAGCTAGAGCAGCTTATGCCAATCTGGGACATCTTTGGCGCCTTCGTGATGTTAGTGTCTGTAAAAGGTCGGATCTACAACGCATCGGTGAGAGCAGTTTTGCTCTATGCTTGTGAAACCTGGCCTCTCCGAGTTGAGGATGTTAGACAACTCTCTGTGTTTGATCATCGTTGTCTCCGAAGGATTGCTGACATCCAGTGGCAACATCATGTTAGTAATGCAGAGGTTCGACATCGTGTGTTCGGTCACAGAGACGACAATCCAATTGGTGTCATCACCCTGAAACATCGACTTCGGTGGCTTGGACATGTTCTACGAATGTCGTAGCAGAGAACTCCTCGTCGTGCATTATTTGCCGACTCTGGGACTGGTTGGAAAAAGCGGAAAGGTGGTCAGTGTATGACATGGTGTCGTGGTATGAAAGAAATCTGCAAAGGGCTGATTTGTGTTGGTCCTTCACAACTCTCTAGTTGGGATCCGAGAGATGGTGTAACACAGTGGCTAGAGACGTTATCAGATATGGCTCAGAATAGAAGTCAGTGGTTATCCTGCTGTAACCTTCTTTTACTTCATAAAAGGTGACCGTAACGTCTTTAACTGAAAGAATTCTTTTTGGTTGTATCTTTCTGTTTCCCGATTATTATTATTATTATTGTTATTTCACTACCATACACTACTCTGTGGTCTTTATTGTTCTCTCTTTTTTTCTTATACGCATCTTACTGTTTTTTCTCTCCGCATTCTCATTGTTTTGTGTGGCGCATATATATCTGATGCCCCCTTGTACCAATATTTATGTGTTCAAATGAAATAAATAAATTACTAAAACGTTGCATACATATTAATTAATGTTTAGTGTCTTGAGAAACGAAAGACTAAAATGTTATGATTTGTTAGACTAATATTTTGTGTGAATGTTAACTCAGTAATTTTTTATTATGTATCTAATATTTTTAGTATTGTGAATTAAATCGGTTTTGTTTAATTTCACCAGTGAAGTTATTCAATATCATTTAATTATTATTATTCATTTAAAAAAAGCAAATATATTAGAATGACTCCCTAAGATAATGTGTTCAATTTCCTGGTGAAGTTTCTTTTTCTGAGCTGGGTGGTTTGATCGTGGAGCTTTCATCATTGACAATCAACAAACACATCGAAATCGATCCCATTTATCAACCGCCTAGAAAAATTATGGACAAATATAGCACCAAGAATTCTATCAAAGGGGAATACAATGAAAATAAAGAGGTAGACGATGCTAGGTTAAAAGTCATTAATAACGAATCAAGATCGAGATTGAAAGGACAAGCTGTTGGTCATATGTGAAGAAATTTGACTACTTCACTTCTACCTCAAGTCTGCGCTGATGATGCTGTTCAGAAAAACACTGAAAGCTTCACAACAAAATCATCCAGCTCAGAAGATGGAAATATACTAAAATCATTCATTCGAGCTCCAAGTCTTTACCATTTCGCAATGTATGTTTTTTCTTGTTTACTTCACAGCTTGTTTCTTTTTCGGCTCATTCTGGGTATAAATCATGGATGCCTACTCAGCAGTTAGCAGTTTATGCGTTCATGTCCGAGACGGTATGTCTTGGGCTTGAATTCTTCTGTATATCGAAGCGTACTACTATGTAATCCCATATTAGAATGTAACTAAGGTCAGTCCATAATATAAGAATTCGAATTCAACACTACACAGCATTCTATAGTTGGAAAAAGCTTAAATACAATCATGTTATGCATTAAATAATCTTGTTTTGTTTGTGTATGTATGATGATTATTGGGCTAGGTATATGCATTCTCACTCTGTTAAGATTAAAATTATATATTCTACTATATAACTATAAAAATTGTGAAATTCAAACTGGACATGAATTACTGTTTAGCTGTAAGATTACTCAATAGCAGTAGTGTTTATTTTAAATTTAGTTGTAAAGTAGTTGTCTTCCAATGGCTTTGAAATGCAGTTGGACAATATCTTCAATTGATCAGAATTAATCACTTAAATCATTGGGTATCCTCTCAGTCGTATAAATATCAAGCGCTCCGTATGAGACTTCAAGGTACTACGTTTAGTCTCTGGTAATATCATGAATGTCCAGCGCTGAAGAGTTTTATATTTGGACACAGCATCTTTTCAATAGTCCCTCATTTTCAGTGGTTGTCTAACCAAGATCAGTCAGTGATGTAATAAATTGTAAAATTAGCAGTCTGTTGGATGCAGCATTTGATAAAGTAGATAGTAGATAGCATCACTTACATATAATCACAAGAAAATGTGCTGAGGTCACTATAGTATCTGGTTGAACAACTATACAGATTTTTAATCCGCATTAGTTCAACTGTAGTTAAAATATGCCGAAAATGGTGATTGTTTTACTTGTTATTAAATTAAGTGTTTATTATGGTATGGTCGTTTGTATCTTTTTGTTCACTGAAAGAGCAATTTAATTTACTGTAAATAATATGTAGATATGGAGTCTAGTTAGTTGATTTCATTGGAGCCTATTTAATTCCAATTAAACGTAACGTTCTCTGATTTTTTCGAATTTTTTAAAACCACATTATCACTAAAAAACTGCGGAATCTAGTTCAACGAAAGTTCATGAAATGAAAATTTCTGATTAGCCAATATTTTGTTGTAAGGTAAAGTTTATGGTATCTATGGTAAATTAATGTTTGAATTAGAGTATGAAAAATTATGTCTTTGAAACATCTATACTGATGTAATAACGATATCGTGATGATTGGTCTAAGCCTGCTTATTCAAGAAATTTTAATATAAACCATGCTTTTTGATATGTAGTAGTGTAACTAAAATGTGATTGATCACTGAGTGTAGACAAACACGCATTTAGCCTATTGACTGTTAAATATATGATTTCTTTTCTTCTCATTGAGTTCCACTCCGGACTTACTGAGTGTGACTGCTTGTTATTGTATTGAATAAAGTATTATCTAGCTCAATCTTGCTGTCTTACATGTTAGGGGATTTTTTCAGATGATTGATGTTAGCATTTATTGACACCACTTGTCATTACTAACCTTTTCTTTAACAGTTAACATCAAAAACTAATTTCAGTTAAACAACCATTCAAAATCAGGAGTCACTGGACACTTGTTGTTTCCTAGTATTGGGCTTTTCAGGAGTGCTCATTTATGAACTCACCATCGAGAGTTGAACTGAGGACCTTCAGGCCTCATGGTGAGCAATTGATCTTCATACCACTGCGCTGGTATCCAATAGTGTTTATATATCTAACTACAGTCTATTCGCGATATTGCGCAACCGCTTTTTAATCTCACTGGCGAGTGATTGTCTTAAACTCGACGTAGTTGAACTTCACTAATCAAAACTTTTTTCTACATATTTCTTCTGATATATCAGAGATCTGATTGTATTCCAATAGCCAAGCTGTTGTGTAACTCGACTACTAAATTTAGGCCTTCCTATATATGTATTCAAAGTTATGTCGTTATGTGATACTAACATTTATTTACTATTCTCTTCATATTTTCCTAGAGTATATTAAACATTTTATCGTGCGATCTTCTACTGGTCGATAAATTCAGTGGTACATTTAATAATACTTCCATTCATAAATACAACAACAAACGTGTGCTTTCCTGCCAAAGTTGCTTTAGCATACATAGACATGAGATAAAATTAAGATGAATAGCGAAGAAACTGAAATAATCGTAGTATCAGTGACAATTGAAAATACTGAACATTGGGGATCTGGTTTGAAATGACGTAAGGGTATATATATATATATATATATATATATATATATATATATATATATATATATATTGTCAGTAATTAATTAGATTTGTAAGCCAAGTCTAAAGTGTTATTAGTTTACTACTGTTAGTGAAAATTTTGACATGACAAAATTAATGAACATATTACACGTTCAACTCATGTAGACCACTACCATCGCCTTTATTCCCCTAATCAAAATGATATTAAAAACGAACGTAAAAGAAAATTTGAAGCAAAACATAACTCAATTAACTATTTCTGTGCAGATTAGCGGAAGTTCAATTAAGTGGATAAGTAAGTATATATATGTGTATATGTTTGTGTATTCGTGTATACTTTCTGTATATCTCATTATCATCATTTACCTTACATTCTTGTATTGATTAAGGATTAGTTTTCATTTTCTGTCAGAATTCACTTTATAGGTAGATCACTTTTATTTTCACTTAAAATTCGCAATATGAATACAAATGAAGTGTGTATATATATATTAAAATAAATAATAACAATATGTATTGGTTAACTATACCATTCCATCAATTATCCATTATGTGTTGTATAACATACTCTGCTTAATTTATTATATGCAAAAATTATATTTGAAATACTCTCAGCGGTTGAAATTTAAAATAATTCCAACGTTTGATAATTTGAAGAAATCCAAATAAGTTTACTCGATGGAACGTCATTGCTCCCGTCTAGCGTTTCGCGAAGTCGATCTTTAAGTTAGTTTTCTGTGAAGATGGGAATAAGAATACAATCATTGCTATTTGCTTATTTATTTTCGTTTATATATTTATATAGTTGGAAAATAGTTATCCTTACAAACTGACAGCAGTTGGAGGGCTCAAACTAGAATAAAGCATTCAACATCCAATATTTCTCGATGTTTAATCGTCCTTCCTATTGGATCAACCCTATTGAACGTATCGTCAGGCATTACATGATAAACCTGATTTTACTCTTTATGCTTACCTTGAATAAGATTAATAAGTCCTTTAAGCAGTGCTTCAAAGACACTCATGACCAAATGCTATTAACTTGCGGTTATTATCTGTACTTTTAGAGGCCACGTTTCACAGCCATAAAGCAGAACAGCAAATCGCTTTACAGTATACTCGTACTTTAGTTTTACTGCTATTTATCGATGTTATTAATGTTTATTGTATTAAGTTGACTTTTTAAAAAAAATTTTTGGTTATGGGACACATCATCTGACAGTAGTAACTTAACAGTAAGTAAAATTTTGTTCATCATCATAATGTCTCGTCTACATAACTGTCTCAAAAGTTCATTTCCCGTGTAGAATTGCTTTTTATGAGCTGTGGTTATGAATCAAATCATGCTGATGGTTTAACAAAGGAAAATGGGAACTTCATAAGTCAAGTAAAAATTCATTACATATCGTAACATTAAGGGAATTTTAGGATACTTTATCGTATTTTCCCATGTAGTGCAATTTTTATCAATGCCAAAAATGTAATGCCTTCATATCAACATCTTTTGGTTGACAAGTCTTTTAGGTTTTCCACTTAAATAACTTCTAACTTGATAGTCGAAGTTGTAAAGTTTTGATTTTCTTCATATTTAGTCGTTATTCTTTTTAACCAATGAATTACTTAATAATTCACGTGCTTATATAACACAAAGTAGAACATATTAAGGATTTATTTTCCAAATGACCCATAGTGGGCCAAAAGCAGTTAATGATATCAAACAGTTGATCAAATTGTGCACTGATTTTACCTAAGTCCTTTCATATTTGATTAATATTTTGGGTTTTATCAAGTTTTAAACGGTCTAAGTGATAAAAAGGATGCAATTAGTCTACGTAATTCATCTTCCAATTTAATTATCATCGTTGTTTACACAGTTCATTATGAACAACCTGTTGCACACCTTTCATATACAACAGAATTTATTTACTGTTATAAATTTCCCACATTTATTTAATTTGTAGTCACTTGAAGCGGATCAGTATTCTGTCTTTAATTTAGCTTAAAGTTTTCTTCATGAGTTGAGGTAAGTTCAAATTATTAATATAATGATTTCGTCAACTACAGTCTCTTCAGTAATATTTCATTCAATCTTCATGTAACATACCTGAGGTTGGGAAATAAACACAAAAACCATTCATTTATTCCCGACTGAAATCCAGGAGGTCAGCATCGATCTAAAATAATTTCAGTTAGTTTTATGAGGATGAATGTTAAAGATTAATTGTTAAACATATTATGACGTAAATTAACTGGTAATATTCAAGTTTATAAACAATCAAATAGATCGAGTGATAAAGTATTTAGTGATCATTTTCTTATCATTCATTGATTTATAGAATAAATGTGATTTTGTGAACATTCTGCATTATACATATGACTTGTAATAGTCACATTTTCATCCCTGTGTCATGCGTATTATGAAGGTTGAGTGTGTATCGTTGGTTTGTGGAATATAGGATTTAAAGCAATTAGTTCTTTTCATAAATGTTGATTGATCAATGAGAAGACCGAGTTGATCTGAAAAATGTGATGTATTTACGCTACACATTTTAGAAAGAACCTCTACCTGTGGGATTTAATTTCTCCGCAATATACTAAAATTTCTCATATATCGATCGACGCCCAATTTGTAAATCTCTATGATCAGATGAACCTTCATGTCTCAACCACCCTAAATAAGCAAAGTTGGTTAAAGGTGAGATTGTTTGATATTGCGGGGATGCAATTTAATACTATCTGGTCTTTAAATTAATGAAATAATCATACCAATTTCATAAATGTTACTTTTCACTAATATTGTGGTGAACAAGAACACCGATGGGGACAATCGAATGTATTTAGGCACATAATTACAGAGCATCTCAATGAAATCTGAGAACCATATATTAAATCGTTAATTTGCAAAATATCAATCCATCATATCAAACTTGAATGTTCCTGTTGCAAACATCAATCCATTGTCTCGGATTTCATTGTTCATGCGTTTTCATACCAATTGCGTTTCGTTCCCGTTCTTTCCTCATCGACCTTCTACTAAAATACATTCAATGCCTGACCACCGTCATATACTACATGTGTGGGTATAAGTAACCCACACCACAATATCACATTATTAATGTTGTTTGGGTTACCCGTTCATATTGATTGGCTCTTATTTCCGAAACTAAATTTAAACATTTATTTCATTCAATTTATAGCCATAAAAAACACCAACTGAAAAACTGTCAATTATATGTCAAACCTTCGCCACTATAGATCATGTAAGTTAAATTCAATCTTGGTTTAGCTTATTTTCAATGAAAAAAATGTACAACATTAGTTATCGTGTGCTCATTAGTAGCTAGTTTCTGGAGGTAATTCCCGGAGGTCGGTTGATTAATATCACAAATTGGTTGAAGTTAAACATCCAAAGTATTGGATGTCAGCTTGGTGGTGATCTAGAGGAAGATTGTGGGTACGATCCTCTCCGGTGCGTTTATGGATGGCGAGTTTCTGAGAAATTTCACACTAAGACAAAACGGCTGTCAACTGATTCCTACCCTTCAATAATCATCGGTTCTTGATCTCAATGACATTCAAGTTTCTCCATAAGTCTTCCCTCACTAGTATTAAAATGAAGTTATACAGCAAGGAAATGTATGTTTTACTTGTTAAAGACTCTTATTTGGTAGTGAGCTCACACATAAAGTCTAAGCGACTCGACACAGTGGTCACTATGTTTTTATTTGGTAGTTGAGAGTAGTAAAAAGTAAACCCTAAATCCGGGTTTCTTCCTCTTTGGCATTTTTCAACAAAGCGTGCCTACAATCTCAGGGAGATTGATACAATAACCGAATAGGCAAATATAACATCGATCACTACTCAATGATCAACTACTTGTAAATATCTTATTCGTCAAGGTTAGTCGTCGGTTGAATAGCTTAATAATAGCATTTCATACTGAAGCTAAGTGATATATTAAGCAGTTGAAGTACTCACTCTTCGATTATAATTAAAGAAACCTTTTTAAAAGTTATTTAGACATTATAGTTATCAATTTGATGCATAATAGATGTACATCCTCCAGTTTTAGAGTATTACGACGAAGCTGCTGCGTATAGTTTAGATGTCTTTTGACAATTCATAGTTTCACGACAAAGCTTTCCAATATAAAATGTGTCTCAGTGCTTTACTTTTCGTTTATTTTAATCAGACTTTATCCCTCATTCAAAGTAAATAATATTCATAAGATGGTTGTTACTTTATTCTTACATTTCTTTGTTTATCTTCTGATGCCGCATGTTTGTTAGCTCTTTGGAGTAAATATCATGTACAAGAAAGTTAAGTATCGAAACTCATCTATAAGTTAATATTTTAGGACGGAAATCAGAATTTTCATGTCTCTTAATATAAGATTCATCGTCAGTTTATATGGTCGGTCCATTTTAATTGAATGTGTTACTCATATTGATATTATCATATGGTCCCAAAGAAGTTTTAGTCTGGAATTTCTTTCGTAACATTTAAACATATATACACTGTTAATCTACCATACAACAGCTACTGTCGAGATTGAAGCAGATATTAGAAAATCATATTTAATGTTTCTGACAAAATAGGGGACGATTAATAAGTTAGTTCACAAGAAATTGTTATACACTAGAAAAAGTATATCGTTTGTACGGTGATCGTTGATGATGTCACTTATATTCGTAGATCAAATAAGATATATGGTACTACTTCTAGTATCAGGGACTAAAATTGGTATCGAAATGATCTTTTTTCCTTGATATTCGATTGCGTAATCACAGCTGTTTTATTATTACGTTTTGTCTGTTGTCGTTAATCACACTGTAGCTCACTAATTTCAAATGTTTTAGTAATTATTTATTTCACTTACTCCCTATCCCTTTCTATTACAGTCCTTTATGTTCACTCATATCTGTGTGCATCATATAAAATATCCAACATTATTAGATAATTAGTAAAAGTAAACATTCCGATTCTCATCTACAAACATCAATTAATAATAATAATAATAGAAATTCATCAATTTGTCCGACGGATACATTATCTCATTTATCTGAACCTGATCAATTATTACCAATTATACAATATGTTGTAATACGCTATGGAATTATGTATTTAGGTGCTGAATCGGATTTTATTGTACATTTAGCACCGAAACGTTTATCACTTCATGGATTATTACCTTATCTAATGACTACATTACAAGCATGTTATGATCAAATTCTAAATGAAGGAAATAGTATATAATCGATTATTCATTTTAAATAATATGTTTATTTCATGAATCCAATGCTTGTTGTCTTTTGAAATTTGTAAACCATGATTTTTTGGCTTTTTGGCTTTTTTCGCGATCAAAATTATACTACTTATATACTGAATTTATTATCAAACACATTGCTTTATACTAATTACATGAGCATTATTTTTTTTCTACAATGGTTGCCATTAATTAATTGTTATTATTGTTGCATTTTCTGGTATTATTTTTTGCTACATACTATTATGATGTTAACTTATTCTTGAAGCGAAAATGCAGCTATTTCATTGTACTTTACTGAATTACTAATAATATTGTTTACGTTATGATTTTCTATTTTCTTTTATAAGTGTATTGTTGATGTACGTTTTCTCTATTGTTGTTGTTCTGGTTAAAATTGAATGCACTGAACTAGTACATCCATAGCAGTACACTTTAGTTTACACTATTATATATATGCTTACTAAAATTTACTTGTTTTCTTTACTTTCCATTAAAATAACAAAAGTTGTCATCCTATACCATAAATATGTCAATCAGTTTAGATTTGTGCGGAAATATACACTGTTCTAAGTTGTTGTAATTAAATATAAGGACGACGAGATGAATTATAATGACTGACAAACGAGGGAATTAAAGTAACATTCTCAGTGATGAAGTGAATGATCAATTACTGAGTCTACCGTTCAAAAAGACATAACCTATAACATTGCTGCGGCAAGCAGCTTGTCCGGTCTAGCATGATAATACCAATAATTCATTACTCTGTTGATTGATTTATTCTTCTGTTAATAAGCTAACTCTTTTGTATCACATAACGGGTCCATTTTCTCTTGTATACTATTTTTTCTACTCAGCCCAATTACTTTCAACTGTAATGATTTAGGCATTCGTTAGCATCAAGTTTGACTAGATGTCGTAGAAACTGATGAAGTCCCTTTACTATCACATGATTCTTGTATAGTTGCAAATAACTGTCTAACTTTTGAATTTGAACACTACAAAGAAACTATAGATGAGTTATATGTATTCCTAATATCTGTACTGTTTTGTCGGCGTTGTTTTTTGATGTTTTGGTTAATTTGCTAGGTGTTAATAGAAATAGTTATATTTTGTTTGGGATCAATAGAAACTTCGGATGAGATCTCATGATGTTACTGCTAGAAATCGTTGATGAAAATAGATAACATCTTCGTTATAACAGACTAGATGAAGAAAACAATTTCATCATAAAGACCAGACAAGAAGTGAGCGCAACATTAACGTTTGAATACTATTTTACATTTCCAAATGTGGCAATTCTGAATACCCAAAAATTTTTATTAAATAAGTATCCACTTGACTAGTGAAAATATTCTAGTATATTTTATTAAGTACAATTATTATCTAATAAATGGAAATTACTTTATACATTTCATTTTATAATGTTTAATCAAGGCTAAGAACAAGATTTGCTGTTAAATAATGAAGTCACATTCTATTTGAAAACCTATCATATTCACACAGACTAAAGTTACAATGAATGATCTAGTTACCTATAAAAAGATTTTCATGTTCCAGTGAATTATTTACAAAAGGGAACTTCAGAATTAGATAAAAAATATGATAAGATGCTGTCAGTTAGTGTTTGTGAATATTGCAGTTATGATTGATGAAAATTTTTATGTTTGAAACCTAACTATATGAAGTAAAGGAAATGAATCTACCAACGATAATCAATACAAAAACGATGAGGTAATGAAACAACACAACTAAGGTGAGATTTACTGGATGAATAAAAGTCAGTGGATCTTTGGTAAATGAAACCATCTAGTGCTAAGTATGTTTATTAGGATATAGTTTGATTAAGCACGTTGTCTTACTGTATAGATAGATCCCTTGGGAAAAACTTGATACCAATTCCGTCTACAAAGGAAAATAAGTAACGCGTCTGATATTCGTTAATTATTCTAAATTCTCTAGTACTTTTTACTTCATGTCCGCCAAATTTCTGGTGATCTCACTGAATTTCTGTCTGAACCCCATTGACATATTAATACATTTTTTTTGTAAATTTAGTCTGTTCTCAATTGATGAGAAGTAATTGATGAATACTACTAAACTTTTAACTTTCCTTTTTTATATTTCGAAGCATTCAGTTTATCGAAATTTCTTGGAACTCTATAATTTCAATGAATATACAAATACCTCCAATTCAGGCGGTACGTTTAGTTCTTCATTGGTTTTCTGAATGGAACAACTCTGAACGTGAATTATTTCTTTCTACATTAAATTGTCTCGAAACAGTGGATCATCATTTATCCATTGATGATTCATTATCTATAATAAGTGAAATGAATACCAATGAGCATGACAATCGTTCTATACATCAGAACAATACTATTGGTCATCAAATGAATGATACATTCTTAGCACATTTAATGAATACAAATTTGCAAATTAATTCAGAATTAGTTGAAAGATTAGATTCATCAGATATATTTCAATGTCAACTACGTTTATTTCATTGTTGGTATCCTCAATGGTCATTAGAACAACGTGTTCAATTAGTTAATAATTTAAAAGATATACAATTAAAGTCATTAAACGAAACTTCGTAAGTGCTTTTTACATATAATTGTTTTCACTATAAAACGACCGAGGATAATATTAGGCTCTAGTTATTTCCAACGTTTTCAATGTATGAAAGGTGTACTTTATCCATCATTTCCGATTATTTTTTTTCAATTATTCAATACTGCATATCAAAGTTTAATTTTCTTTAAAGATTTCATTTCAAGCATCTAGAGTTATCTCGAGTTATATGCTGTGAAAACGTTAGTTTAACGGTGGCTAAAACCTCAGATGACAAACATTAACATGTAAAATGTTGAAGTTGGAAGTGAAATCCCCAATAAAAATTACACTAGTGCAAAACTTACTTAACGGACAGAAAAACAGCTAAAAATGATTGATACGTCACACTTATTGGACATTGAGAATGTTGTAGATAATCGCAGATTGTCTATTCCCATTTTACTATTAACTTAATTGTTCAGTGGTTGTTTTTGTTATATTGAGAGGAAAGAAAGCCCTTTTTATTGACAGTTTTTAAATTGTATTTGTTAGTATTTCGTTGTAATTTTTCAGTTCATTTTAAGTATAACGTTTGTTTTGAATATGCTAATAGTTTATTTTTGATAAACTTGCTTCTTTTGGACAATTATATTGGGCTGAGCTATCCTCTCACCAGCAGTAATCAACTTTATGTACTACAGTCATCGTAATATTATTTTGATAGTTTGCCCTCCCATCTTTACACACGTAATCATATCAATCAACAGAAGCGCATAAGAGATTTATTTTTACTATATATGTGTGTATATATGTATAAACGTCTTGAGCGGTGGCTTAGTTGTTATTGCGTTCGACTTTCAGTCATTGAATTGCAGGTTCGACCCATGCTCCACCTACTTCGATTTGAGCAACCACATAGTATTGCTAGTCCTCACACTTATAGTGTAGCTCAAATCCAGGTACTTGGAGAGTAAACTAGTTTAAATCTTTAAATAAACTTCTATCCAGTTATTATAAACGAGAATTATAAATGCCAGCCCCTCGAAGGGGATAGATGCTAAAATAGAACTGTTTGTGGAAGCCGACGATACATACACACATATTGCATCATTATCTAATTCTTTTGAATTTCTTTCCTACGTTTATTCTTCTCTTTTAAGATGTGTTAATTATAATTAAAGTAATACAATGAATGCAAAGAACGGATACATATGTATGATTAATAGTAATAATATTGTATTCATCTCTCTCAAACGTATCTGATTTGTATTTTTCTATATTTAAACAATACAAATGTGTTAATTGTTTTAATAATTCAATGCACATAATAAAGCTACACCACGTTGAACCCAGTGTTTTTGTTGTTGATCAGTCGGAATTTCAATGGAAAATACAAAATTTGTTGAATGGCCAGTAGTAGATAAAGTTCCTGCAAGTGTAGAGTAAAATATAGTAATAATGAATCATTTCAAACGTTTGAATCATTGAGTTATTAGATGTACACAACTAGAATTTTTAGTATAATTCATAGTCTTTTTCATTATTCATCCATTCATACTGGACTTTTCGTAAGTTATTAAACTTATTCATTCTTACGAAACACGACTATCACTGGACTAACATTGAGATATTCGCATAAAAATTTGAGTTTGATAGGTGCTAACATTAAAAATATCTACTACTCGATACTATAAAGATTAAACTACATTCTAAAACACGTATCATGTTACGTATTACTACATTTAAATTTCGTGAGGTGATACCAATGACGGACAAAAAATAGCCAGATATTCTAGTTTATTAATGTTTCGTATTTGCGTAGATAGGTATCCCTGATAAAGACTGTCAATATCCTGTATGGCTACATCTTCTTGAGTAACCATTTATTCTCTATTAGTGTTGCAATCATGAAGAACTTATTATTGTCCGTCGATGAAGTTTGGTTTTCACTCCAACACGGGTATTTTCTAAAAACTTCTGTTGTGATTAATACTTGCTAACTAACATGCGTAAAGCACTTGTCGGAAGTCAGCCAAAGATTTATTGAAAAACGTGTCACTTTATAACATATGTTAACGACAACGTTGTAACATGTAACGAATTCAACAATGTAACTTATTTGATAAAGGAATTAAATACCGTTCAATATTGTATCACTGTACCAAATATATGTCTGAAATCTCATCGAGAAACTGTCTTTTGGTCGAACTTGAAGCTTTGCTAGTCTACAGGGAGTCCTGTATCTCATGTTTGTTCCCTACGTTTAACATTATTGTCTGTATCAAGTTGATCATACCTGTAAACTGGCGTGAATTCTGTAATTATTATTTTCAGAATATATATATATATATATATATATATATATATATATATATATATATATATAATGAACTGATGACAATCGGAGAATAACCGCGGAATGAACAGTTGTCTTAGTAGTGCGCACTCCTAATTCTACAAGGGGTCGATTTAATATCTGATTTCAAGCACTCAATGGTAAAGAGTAATGGGTTCACATTCCTGAAATGTACCCAAGTGGGACAAAACATCTGTCTAGTGCTTCCTTATTTTTATTAATTCCTTAATGAATACTAACTCAACATGAAATTTATATTTTATATACTATTATTATAAATACCTTGACCATAACTAAATAGACATTACCTGCACGTGTTAGAGTTTTGTATACTGGACATTCATAAATTCCTTGACTTGGTGATTTACGATTTTCTGTTGGTATAAGCCATATAACTGGCATATTGACAAATAATTCTTTTGGTCGTGATTCACATAATAAATTAAGTTTGGAATCCCAACCAGCACCTTCTAGATATAAGCCACGAATATAGCTTCCATCGTCAGGTGATTTATTCAGTTTCGCATTGTTCTCTTTCATTACCTATTCATGTATAAAATAATAAAAAATATATAATAATTGAAGATGTATCTATTAACCAAATTTAAATTAAAAATCTTATTAACTCTTATAGAGAAGTTTATCAACTTTCTGTAGTAGGCTACTTATCTTTTCAATAGACTAGGATACACTTTACTGAGTTACTTCCCCTAAGAGTAGAAGATAGACTTTTTTTAAGAAGTACCACCAGGCTTGACATATAAGTCCAGAGTTTCTTGCCTTTTGCGTTCATGAACTTCATATTCTTTATTTTGAATAATTACATTTCATACTAATGAAGTAGCTTATTCGAGATCTTGGGTTCATCGAAAGTAAAATGATTAAGTGTAGAGTCCAACAGAAGAAAATTAAACCGTTAGGTCAAATTATGAATTTTCCCCAATTAAACTGGCTGAGTACAAAGTAATAGATGGCAAGACGTCTATCTCAATATGTTGTGTTGTTCAAAGTAGAAAGCTTATCAGTAAAAGCATGAAACGATTGAATTAGTTTCTTACACATAGTTCCTTTTATCATTTTAAAGAGAGCTAAAACTAAGATTCTAGCAGAATAGCATGAACTAAACGAAATAATATGAATTCATGCTATTCTTCTAGAATCATTAAATTAGCGCTTGTCCTTAGCTTCATTCAGCTCAGACAGTTGAATATCCGCAGAATTCTCCTTTTTAGCTACAAATACTTTCTATATATATTATTATTCTTATACTTGTTGAGTGACATTGAAGCCCTTGATATAATCTGAGTGTTGCTTGATTTTAAAGTCCTTATTATAATCCAAGAAAATATCATGAGCGAATCCTAAAAATAAACTCAGTTTATCAAAATTTCCCTGAGATTTGTTAAATAGTTCATCTATAAAATGAAGGTTGTGATTAATTGTATAATTACATGTAGAACTCCTTAATGATTTGACTTTCGAGCTTTTAATTTATCATCTCATCAAGTGTTAGTTTGGAGTTCATTGTAATGGGTTTATTGGTTGTTGATTAACCTGGTACATACACATAGTGATCGTATATGTAGTCAGTTAGTTTATATTGTCAAAGTACTCTGTCAATCTGGTACTAAAAAATTTATACAAAACCTACTTTCAGTATTCTAAATAGATAGAACGTAGAGAGAAGTAATCTTTCATAAGTAAATGTTGAGTAAAAGACGTTAAAGTAGACTTCATCTAGTTAAAATGTACATCTAACTGTTTATGAGGAATATAACAGAAAAATATAACAAGGTTGTCACTAACTTTTGTTTGGAATAATACCTGTTAAGATTTTACATCAATGAGTAACACAACGGTCAGAATCCAATCTCAATTGTCGTGAAAAACCGAGTGGCGTAAATCCCATATAATTATCTCCTATTGTACAAGGTGTTCCAACCTAAATACTATTTAACAGTATATGGTATGGTACCCGATGAGAAGGTATGCACAAAATCTGTCCAAACCATCAAACTTTTGGTTTCAAGATTATTTACTTAAGTCTATTACGCCTAGTAGGGCATAGTCTGCCAACCAGGTTTCTTTAAGCAATTCTATCCTCGGCTTTCCTTTCTAGTCCTTATCAAGTGCTACTCATGGCCTTCATTCCTGAATCCTATTTCCGGAGTCATGTGTTCTTTGCTTTGCCTTTTCGCCTTAAAAATTCTAAATTATCGTGATGCAGTTTGATGGTTTTCGCAATATGAGTCCTGTCTAAATCTAGCTTCCTCTCCTAATTTCTTCCTCAACTGGAAGTTGGTTTGTTTTCTGCCAAAGTAATTTGTTACTGGTGCTGTTCGGCCAACAAATGTATAATATTTTGCATAGACAGCTGTTCACAAATGCCTATAGTTTTTGATAATTTTTGTAGTCGTTCTTCAAGTTTCAGCCCCGTTTAATGGAACTACCTTGACTTCTGAATGGAAAATTTGGATTTCGGTTTTAGTTGATAGTTCTTTTGACTCTCAGGAATTCTCCAGTTGTAGAAATGTTCCTCTTGCTTTGCTAATCCATTCCTTCATATCTGCATCAGATCTCCTTTGTTTATCGTTTACTTTGCCTAAGTATGTAAAGCGTGCTTCATGGTAGTAACACTAATCCGATCGCCTCAATTATACTGATCAACTGGCTACAGTTTATAAAATG